AAATCTAAAATAACTGGCCACATGAGGACATAGTTGTTCATAAGCAGCAAGAATTACTAGACATAATAAATAGTAAGGTTAGTTCTCCAAGAATTCCAGATAATAAAACCATTAGATAGAGATAAATAAGTAGGTTTAAAATAAATGAAGATCTAAAGGAATTGAAATCATAAAAATGCAACCAATTACTAAGAAAAAGGAATAAATGGATTCAAAAGACCTAAATGGAACTACTGAAAATGAAAATTATGGTTTTAAGGGCCAGCTCATTAGCTCAGTTGGTTAGAGTGTGGTGTTATAACACCAAGGTCAAGGATTCAGATCCCTGTCCTGGCCAGCCACCAAAAAGAGAAAATTATAGTTTAAAAAATCTCTGTGGCTGGTATAAAAAAATCAGACATAACTGAAAAGAAAATTAATGAACTACAAGATAAATTTAAAGAAAATTTTGAGACCGTATCAGGGAGATACAAAGAGATGGAAAATTAGAGGTTAGAGACATGAGGACATAAGGAGAAGGTTCAACAAAAAATCAGCAGGAGTACAGCAGGAAGAATAGAGAGAATGGGGGAGAGGCACCTTTGAAAAATACAATGTGAAAACTTTCCAGAATTGATTAAAAGTACAAATACTGCAGTGAACATTATACTTGATGAAACTTTAGAAGATTCCCATTCAAGTCAGTAGTAAGACAAGGTTACCCACTGAATAATGTGGATAGAGTTTAGATTCATATTTATGGATGGGGAGAGACTGTATCATCAGGACAAAAGTTCTCCCCAAATCTAAAATTTCAATGTAACTAATCAAAATGCTATTAGGAAATTTTTTTTGACTTAGTTTGACGTGGAATTTGATGAGCAGATCCTCAAATATGTATTGAAGGACAAAGGACCAGAATAGCCAAGATACTAGTGAATAAGAATGAGAAGGTGTGGTCTTGCTTTATCAGAAATCATGAATGGTGACAAAATTACATAATTAAGACAGTCAGATATTGGTACAGGGTCGTCCAGTGGCACAAAGTGTAAAGTCCAGAAACAGACCCTGCATTTATAGAAACTTGATATACGATAGAGGTGGCATTTCTAAATGCAAGCTGGGACAATTTTATCTGTATGGAAAAAAATACATTATATGCCATACACAGGTGGATTCATGAACTAAATGTGAAGAATAAACTTTAAAACTTCTGTTACAAGACTGGCCGATAGCTCAGTTGGTTAGAGCATGGCATTGTAACCCCAAGGTCAAGGGTTTTGGTCCTGATCCCTGTACTGGACAGCTGCCAAAAAATAAACTTCTAATACAAACTAGAAGTATGGGATTTTTAAAAATTTTTTGGTGGGGTGATGGGCCGGGCTGGGATCTGAACCCTTGACCTTGGTGTTACAAGGCGGTACTCTAGCCAACTGAACTAACCGGCTTGCCCGGAAGGGAGTATTTTTGTGTTCCCAAAGAAAAAGAATTCCCAGAATGAGAAAAAAGCAACTTAGTAAACAAACTAGTGAAGTATATAAAAAAGCAATTCGGTGAAGTAGAAACATGAATGACTAATAAACATATGGAAAGATGCTTCAGTAATCATCAGGGAAATGTGAATTGAAGCAGTGGGAGGCCATTCATAACCATCGGACAGGCAGAAATGAGGGTGTGACAGTACCGAGCGTTAGGACGTGCCGAGGTGGAAACTGCTCTGCCGTGCTGGCGGGTGTATGGGTGGTGCCTCTGTTCTGGAGAAAGGCTGGTGTTCTCCAGTATTGTAACTGCAGAGTTAGGTGTCCTGTGATGGCGGGGGCGGGCACAAAAGGCAGCAACTCTATTTGGAACGTTTTATTTGTTTTTTTTAAAAGGAAAAGAATATATAATCTGAAATGAATAGGGCAAAATGTTAATATGTGGCAAACCTGGTAGGTGTGCATGTTTGTTAATGTCTTTCTTCCTTTGTTTTAAAAATAACACTTCATTTATATATCTTATTACATCAGTAGTAGCAAGTGTTTCATGTACATGGAAGTGCCTTATTCATATATATGTACATGATGTTTAATATAATGTGTAATTTTTTAAATATACATCCTGTGTTTAAACACCTGTGCAATCAAAATAAGTAAAGCACTATCGGTACCCACACATTCTGTATCCTCCATAGTCTCATTCCTCTCCCTCCCTCCCTCCATAGACAGTCACCATCCTGCATATTGTTTTCAAAATCTCCTTCCCCCTTTTCCCTCACCCTTTTAAAAAAACACGGTTTTGCCATGTATGTACTTATCCCTAAATATTAGCATTTTTGAACTTCATGTAAATGAAATCAAACTGAGCCGTCCTCTGCACTCTGCTCTTCCAGCACTCAGCTATCGGCCTGTGAGTGTAGTCAGCGCCGATGCCTGGGGCTGTGTTCATCTTCACTGGCCCAGAACCCGAAGTGGAAGTGTCTTTTCACTCCTCTCCTGCTCTCGTAGGTGTTTTCCGTTTGTCCTTTTGTATTTAAATCATGCGTCCTGACTTTTGTGTGTGGTGTGAGGTAGGGACCAGTCTTGTTCTGTCTCACAGCTGGCTTTACTGTGCTGCTTGGGTCCACCTGCACCCTAGTGGTTCTGTCGTCAGTCGAGCATCTCTGTGTACACAGCTCTGTTTAAGGAGTCTGCATTTGGTCCTCTAAGCCCACTTGTCCCTGTGCCAAACCACAGTAATTGTTACAGCTTTGGAATTAGTTTTTACATTCGGATGACAAGTCCCTTCACCTTAATCTTATACTTCAAAAGCATCTTGTATCTTCTTGGATTTCTTTCCTCCCATATAAATTTTAGAATTAGCTTGTCAACACACATGTGCACATGTGCGCACGTGCACACACACATGCAGTTTGGATTTTTTTTTTTCCTTTTTGTCTTTTTTACTGACCGGTAACGGGATCGCAACCCTCGGTGTCGCGCCCGTACCGGGGACCGGCAACGGGATAGCAACCCTCAGTGTCGCGCCCGCACTGCGCTCAGCCAGTGAGCGGGAACCGGTCTCCACATGGGATCCGAACCCTCAGCGGGAGCGCCACTGCGCTCCCAAGCGGAGCACTCTCCAGTGCGCCACCAGGCCAGCCCGCAGTTTGGATTTTGATAAGAGTTGAGTCTGTAGGTGAAATGGAGAAAGCTGCTGTCTTGAAAACATTGATTCTTCCCAGGAAATATTGTATAGTCCCTAAGCTATAAAGTGTCATAATATTTTTCCAGTAAACGTCTTTGAACATCTTTTGTTAGATTTATTTCTAACTACCCTATGTATTTCGTTGCTGCTTATGTGGTATTTTCTAAAAGTTACATTTTCTTTTTGTTATATTATAGAACTATTTACTTTTATTTCTTATATCTAGCAAACTTGCTAAAACTCTTAATATAAAAAATGTATTGATTGTTGTGGGTGTTTTTATGTAGACAATCATTACATCCCTTATGCAAAAGACTGTTTTGTTTCTTCCTCTCTAATCCTAATAAACCATTTTATTTTTTCCTTTTTGCAGTAGCCAGGAACTCCAGTACAATATTGAACAGAAATGGTGATTGTGGGCATCTTTGTTTTGTCCCTGATTTTTAAGGACTGCTTTAAATACTACATTATTAGGGTGATGTTTGCTTATTATTTTAAAATTTTAGCTTAATGACGTTTCTTCCCATTCCTAGTTTGCTAGGAATCTTTATAATGAGCAATTAATTTTATCGAGGGTGTTTCCTATTATCTATTGCTATAGTCGTTTGTTTTGTCCTTAATGTGTTGTGTTGACATTCATGCTTTCTTTGGATAAACACATAAACACATCACATTTAAAAAAAAAAAAATTTCTGGATTTGGCTTTCTAGTATTTTGTTTACAATGCTCAGTGTTCATGAGTAAAGTCAGCTTAGATTTTTCCTTTCTAGTATTATTTCTCGTTTTGGCATGAAAATTGAAATTAGTCTTGTGATTTGGGGCACGTCCCCCCCGTTTCTTCTGATTATGGAAGAATTTTAGTAACATTGGAATTGTCTGTTCTTGAATGTGTACCTGTGAGTGCAGAACCTGGGAATGTGATCTTGTTTGGAAATAGGGTCTTTGCAGATGTAATTAAGTTAAGATGAGGTGATATTGGAGTAGGTGGGCCCTCGATCCAATTAGACTGCTGTCATGAGAAGAAAAGACGTAGAGCCAGAGACACACAGGAGGAACACCACGTGACAGTGGAGACCAAGGGTGGAGTGATGTGTCCATGAGCCGAGGAATGCCAAGGACTGTCAGCAACAGCAGAAGCTAGAGAAAAGCATGGAGCCCATCATTCCCTTGAGCCTTCAGAGAGGAGATGGACCTGCTGGCACCTTGATTTCTGATTTCTAGCCTCCAGAACCCAGGAACCCTGTAGATTTACACTAAATGGGACAGAGACAGGACAAAGTGAAAGAAGGCTATCAAGGGGCCGGCCCGTGGCTCACTTGGGAGAGCGTGGTGCTGACAACACCAAGTCAAGGGTTAAGATCCCCTTACCGGTCATCTTTAAAAAAAAAAAAGAAAAAGAAGAAGGCTATGAGACTTCTGGCTTCAACAGGCAGGAACAGGGCAGTAGAGTGCTTGGCTGCTTACATGTTATGTGCTTCAAGTAATGGGAAGGACTCAGAGGGGCAGGCCCAGGGGACAGAGCCATCACTTCCTAGGTTCCAGAGAGTGAGGGCACGTCCTCAGCTGCCAGATCATTGAGCCACAGATTCTCAGGCCTTGAAATAGAATGGAATTTGGCTTGCTGGGTTTTGGACTTGTTTGGGACCCATGACCCCTTTTTTCCTTCCTATTTCTCCCACCATTTTTTTTACAGCAGACAGCTTGTTCTGTAGCTTTCACATGTCCACAGCTGGAGAGGAATTTTGTTCCAGGATGGACCATACCCAGGAAATGGGGGCGTTGGGTTGCTGAGCTGCAAGGTTTCCATCGGTATTAGCACCGTGATCCTCATGCTCTGCTCTCTTCCCTGTTCACAGGTGACCTCCCGCTGGACTTTCCGATGCCCAGGATGTCCTCAGGCCCTGTCCCACGATGACTCCCACTTTCACGAGCGGCACAAGTGCATCAACTTCTTTGTCAAGGTGTATGGCTACATGCCCCTCCTGTACACTCAGTTCAGGGTAGACTCTGTGCTCTTCAAGACCCGCCTGCCCCATGACAAGACCAAGTGCTTCAAGTTCATCTAGGGGCAGAGGGGACGAGCAGGGCGAGGCAGATGGCTCCTACGGTTCCCAGGCATTGGAAGACCTTGGGGACATCCGCTGGGTGGGTGGCCCAGACCCTCTGCTGGGAGAGGCAGCAGGAGGAGTGGAAGAGAAGTAGCTGCGTTTATGGAGAAGCCAGTCACACTAGGCCCAGAGCCCGGTCAGCCGACCCCGGGCTTCCCTGCGCAGGGCACTGACTGACAGCGTGCACTGAAGGACCGTGGGGACTCCGGAGAGTCACTCACATAGCTCATAAGCCCAGGACAGCTGGTTTGTGGTTTTTAAATTCATTAACAAATATTATTATTTAAAGAGAAAGTTTCAGATTTGCCATTTAAGGCTTATTTATATATATGTGTGTGTATATATACATTTATGTGTGTGTGTGCACACACTCATGTACATATACATAGATATATATATCTGGCAGGGGGAGTTTGAAATTGCTGCCTATCCCACAAAATTAGGGACCCTCCAGGCTGTGTTCGCCGGCCTGTCCTTTAGGGTCATCTCCTATGCTCCCAGGGCTATCTGCAGAAGCAAGAAAAGGGTGGACTAGGCCCTGTCCTGGGGCCTTCACAGGATGAGACCTGCTGGCTGTTCCTTCCCTTTCTGTCCTGGCCACCACCTCTAACTCGCATTCTCCTCTCATGAGAACCCCAGGGAGGACCTGCGCTGTGGGAGCAGTTCAGCTTCTGTTGGCGGGGCCCCGTGGGTTTTGAGGATTCATCATTAGGCCAAGTGTGTCCTGTACAGTCCCTGCTGTCCTATTCTCTCCCCTATTTGAGAAAGAAGAACAAAGAAGGAACAAGGCCTGAGGCCTGCACTCACAGATGGCTTTTTCTGTCCTTCTCCTGTTAAAAACATGTGCTTCAGGCTTCGGGCTTCCCTATGGTGTCCACTCTTGGGTAAAAGAACAGGAAAACCTGCAGGCTGCACTTGCAGCTGTGGTTTGAAGTGGCTTGCAGGGAGGCCTACTCTTGGTGTTGAACAAACGAACGTTCTTTGAGGATCCCACCCGGCTGGCCGGGAAGTCTCACAGCAAGGCACCCGCCTTGGGATAAATACCTTGGTGAAATTCACCTTCCCTGTCCCCTTCGTCTGATCTCCATCCTGTGTTCCCTGTGGTGTTTGGACCCCTAATCCCAGGTAGCTCTAGGACGCCCTGAGGTCTGGTATGTGCTAGAACATGGCAGCCTGTGGTTTGCTATGCGAGCTTAAATTCAGCCTTGGAATTTAGTCAGGCATTCACACTCCACATTACCATTTTCACTTCCTAGTTTAAATTTCTGTTTCCTGGGCTGAAATGGAAATGAGCTAATATTTTTGGTTGTGGTGGCAGTAGGGGAACCGAAGAGGGTGTTAATGGCATCTGTCAGGGATTAAACCCATGACTTCTGCTGTTTTTCCTAACCCTGCTTTCTTGAAGTGGAGTTGCGTGTAGGTTTCCAGCAAGCGACCAGAAGCTCAGGTCTGTCCTGGTCATGCACATGCCTTCAGCCGGCTCTGTCTTCCCCAGACCTCGACACCCTGTGCTTCCATTTCTTGGGGTACGTTTTTCTGTGACTTGCCTGTACTAGGTGGGTTATCTTCAAGTGTCATCTTGAAGCAAGTCTTTTTGCTGTAGGTACAGCTGCTGTGGGTCCAGCTTGGCTTCAGGGAGTGCTTGTCAGTAGCAGACCGTCTCCAGAGGTTCCCACTGGCACTGAATTATAGCTCTCCCGCTGAGGCAGTGTCTGGGAGATTTGGTTTGGCTTCCCAGCACCCGAGCAGAGGGTCCAGACTCCCTGCACCCCAACTTTCTCCTGCCCTTTCCTTGCCTTCTGACTTCACTTGTTAGCAGTAGCCTTCTTCCCTCGGGGGAGCCAAAGAGTGTGGTGTTTTGCGCTATGTACGTGGCTGCTATTTCATATATTTTTTTTAATGTGAGGAATTCATGAACTGACTTTCAGGGGGACCTGGCGGGAAAGGAGCAGTCTGTGTGGTGGGACCCCCTTAGGTGGAGCCAAACTGTTGGTTCCCTGAATTCATGGTCAATCCATGAATAGCTGAGTGGTCTGAGATTGTGGATAAGATCACAATGTGCTGCAGGGAGGGTTCTAGTGTCAGAGCTTCAAACAAGGACCTGAAAGGCACACTGACTTGAAGGACTCCAGCTGGCAGGCCCTAGTGGACAGTGGCCATGTTCCTAAAGGATGCTCCTCCGTGGGGCGCAGGGCAGCGGGACATTGTGCGTTGCCTGGTTGGTTGCTCCTGAAGGAGGCTGGCTGTGCTGTGAGGGGTTCAGGGGAGTCCCAGGGCCGTCCTCCGATGCTGCTCACCACAGGCAGTGCCCCATGTGACTCACCCGAAACAGGTAGTCAGCTCTGTGGACCCCACGAGTTTCCCTGGTTGTCCATAGGTGACACCTCCTGGGGCCCAGGACATCTGTTTTCCAGTGAGCCAGTTTGCTCCTCCCCGTGAGGGTCGTCCACCTGAGCGACAGCCGCCCCAGGGTGCTCCTCAGGACATTCTGTGTGTTTGCTCCCCTGGCAGTGGCACTCGGTCTGGTCTGGACTCGCCTCAAGCTCAGGCTTACGGATCAGTGGGGTCCTGTCTGGGAGGATGGGGTCGCCCTTCCAGTACCGCCTGGGTGTGCACGGGGAGCTCCTGGTGTGCAGTGTGGTACTTTCAGGGGCAAACTCTTTGATATCCATGCCACGTCCATCCACCCCACTCCTTTTCCTATCGTGAGCACAATGGTCTTATGTTGGATTTTTGTTAAAAAAAAAAAAAAAGGAAAATAAAAATAAATGGAGACTTTAAGCTCAAATAGCTTGGATGTCATTTGTGATTTTCCTCAGCAGGGACAGAAGAATGACCTGAGAGAAGGTGCCTGCCTGCTTGCAGGTGGCCCCCAGTGCACGGCCAGCTGGGACCACCCACAGTGTGAGACCAGGCCTGTGGTTCAGTCCTGTAGTGAGTGTCCTGCTGCCTGCCCTAGGTGGTGCTGACCAGGCACCAAGCCAGGCAGCCTTGCCTGTGCCGTTTCTGGGACTAGTCATCTTTACTAGACAGAGGAACCTATGTGACAGTTAACTGATTTAAGTGGGACGTGGGATGGCACACAATGAAAAAGTTATTGGGGTAAAATACTGTCAGCTTCTTGGTGGCTGTTTCTGCATTCTACCTGTTTTGAGTGCCAACCCACTGTCCACAAAGGTGCTTAGCAGCACCTTCAGGAAGCCCTCCCTTCTCAGAAGCTTCTGCTTGCCCTCTCCCATCCTGTTCTTCACTCACCTGCGCTGTGATGTGCACCGTCCTGCCCCCCCACACCGGTTCACAGGTGCTCGCACTTTTCTCATGGACGCATGCTCCGATAAACTGAGGAGGGTCACAGCTGCAGTGCTTTCAAAATGCAGCTGCAGTGGCAATACAGGCAGTGAAAGGAGCTGACACACGGCTGAGGAGCCTCACATCCACTATTATTTAAATCTTTGACAAAGGGGGATAGGAAGGGTGTGCCTGGAATTAAAGAGAATGGATTCCAGAAGAGGTCATGAAAGCAGTGTGGGAAGCATGTACTGGGGCCAGGTCTGGTTTGCTATTTAATGTCACCTGGTCTTTTTTTTTTTTTTTTTTTTTTTACCTGTTTTTATTAGGCAAATTGTTGTACCTTCCTCCGTTTGTCTCCATATTTGTGAAAGAGTACAAGTCCTCCTATTTTAGGGCTGTCATGTTAATATTTAATTCCCTTTAACTACTGGTCCCAATATTTTATTATGAAAATTTTCATACAGACCAAAGTTAGAAGAATTTTTATGGAATAAATCTGTATACCTCCTGTTTTACTATAACTACCTGATGGGAATCCATATGTCCACCCCCATCCACTCGCCCATCCCTCTACCTACCCTTCCTCCCTCCCTCCCTCCCTCCCTCCCTCCCTCCCTCCTTCCTTCCTTCCTTCCTATTTTTGGTACATTTCTAAGTAAATTAGTGACATCAACATACTTCCTTCCGAATATATAAACACACACGTCATTAACTAGAAGTCAATATTTGTTTCTATGTTTTTAATGTAACATTTACATTTAAAATTTACATACCGAAAGGCACAAATCCTAAGGTGCATTATCTTGAGTTTTGACAAATGTATACACCATATGCATGAGCCAAACCTCTCTCAGATGCAGAACGTTGCCATCAACCTGGAAAGCTCCCTCACGTTCCTTCCTAGTCCATCCCCACCTGCTCCACCCCCGAGAAAGAACCAGTGCCTGATTTTTTTCACCTTCGATTAGTTTTCCCTGTTCTAGAATCTCATATAAATGGTGGGTTTTTTTTTTTTTTACTTTTGTTAATGCTTCTAGAAACTCAGCGCAATGTTTTTGAGACCCATCCCGTGTTGTTACATGTATAGTGATTTGTTACTTTCTATTGCCGAGTAGTATTTACTTGTATGAATATAACAAAATTTGTCCATTTACTGACAGGCACTGGGGCTATTTCCAGTTTCTGGTTATTACAAATAAAGCTGCTATGAACATTCGTGTGCAAGTCTTTCTGTGGATCTGTTCATATTTCTATTGGGTAAAATATCTACAAATGGAACTGTCCAGTGATATGGTAGGTTTGTACATGTTTAGTCTACAAGAAGCTGCCAGACCCTTTCCCCAAGTGATTGTACTGTTTTGTATCCCACTGGTAACTATGACAATTCTAGTTCCTCATCCTCACCCATCTGTGGTGGTGTCAGTCTTCTTAACTTTAGTCGTTCTGGTGAGTATAAATGGAATCTCACAATATTGTGGTCATGTATATCTGGCTTATTTCACTCAGCATGTTTTCAAAGTTTGTGCATGTTTTAGCACATATCAGAATTTCATTCCTTTTCATGAGTGGGTATTTCATTGATTGTATATAGCATGTGTATCCATCCATCTGCTGGTGAAGACTTGGGTTGCTTCTACCTTTTGGCCATTGTGAATAATGCTTTTACAAGCATAGGTGCCCAGTGAGCTGTTTCAGCTCCTGCTTCAATTTTGGGGGTATCTATCTAGGAGTGGAACTGCTGGATGATATGGTAATTCTTCATGTAACTGTCTGAAGAACTGGCAAACCATTTTCCAGAGCAGCTGCACCATTTTACATTCCACCAGCTATGTGTTAGGGTTCCAACTTCTCATATCCTTGCCAACATTTATTTCCTGATTTAAAAAACTTTAAAAAAATTTTATTATAGCTATGTATGTGTGTTGGGCTGGGGTACCCCATTGTGGGTTTGATTTGGACTTCCCTAATGACTAATGATGTTGAGTATTTGTTCATGTGCTTTTTGGCCATTTGCGTGTCTTCAATGGAGAACTGTCTATTCAAGTCCTATCCCCATTTTAAAAGTTGGGTTGTATTTTGTTTGTATGTGCTGGGCTTCTGATGGTATTAAATATGTAGATTAATAAGTGGGATTGAAATGTTAATGACAGTGAGTCTTCTAATCCATGAAGATGGTGTATCTCTCCATTTATTCAGATATTTATTTTCTATCAGCAGGTTTTGAGACTTAGTGTAGAGACCTTACACATCTTTTCAAAAGTTTATTCCTAAGTATGTTTTTTCACACTGTTATGAATGGAATTACTGCTTTAAAATTTTATTTTTCCAATTAGTTATTGTTAGTATATAAAATAGTTTGGCTTTTGTGTAGTGACCTTTTATTCTGCTGTCTTGGAAACTTCACTTATTTCCGGTAGTTGTTTTGTAAGTACATTGTAATTTATTTTATTGTAATTTTACTGATCTTATTTTTTAGGATTTTCTATGTGGAAAAAAAAATCGTGCCATCTGAAAACGGAGACAGTTTTACTTTTCTTTCCTGTCTTTGTGCCTGGCCTGCCCGCCTGTCCCTTCCTCCCTACTTGCTTGCTTTCTGCTTTACTGGAGTGACTGGGCCTCCAGCACAAGACTGAATGGAAGCAATGTGAGTAAGCACCTTGCCTTGCTCTCAGTTGTGGGAAAAGCTTCATTTCAGCTTGCTGGAAGTTGTTCTTAAGTAACTGACAGCAGATTGAGGAAGTTCTTGTCTGCTGAGCACCTTTAGAGAATTTTGCCAGATTCTTTTTCTGCATCTATTGACATGATCATATGGGTTTTCTCCTGTATTCTATATAGTGAATTACACTGGTACATTCCATGCATAAACCCTGCTTGGTCATGACAGAATATCCTTTTTAGGTATTGCTGGATTCAGGTTGCTAGTATTTTAGGTATGTTGCACCTATGTTCAGGAGAGACATTTACCTCTAATTTTCTTTTTTTGTAATGACTTTGTAAGGTTTTGGTATTAGGGTAATGCAGGCCCTTTAAAATGGGTTGGGAAGTAGTCCTTCTTCCTCTGTTTTTTTTTTTTTTTTTTGACAGAGGTTATATAAGATTGGTGTTGTTCCTTCCTAAAATGTTTGATAGAATTTCCCAGGAAAACTATCTGGGACTGGAGTTTTCCTCGTGAGAAGATAGTGATTTAATTTTTAAGTGAATATTAAGTTCTCTTTCTTATTGAATGAGCTTTGTCCGTTTGTGTCTTCATAGGAAATCGTTTTATCTGTGGTGGTAAATTTGTTGGCATAAAGTTCTTTGTAAGATCCTTTTTATCTCTTTAATGTGTGGTTCCTCTTTCGCTCCTGGTGTGTTATGCTCTGAATGTCTGCAGGACCTGAGGTGCTGACCGCTCTCTCACTACGGAGGTGGGTCATCTGTCCCTTTTTTTCCTTTGTCAGTCTAGGGATGTGTGTATCAACATCATTGATCTTTTCAAATAAGCAGCTTTTGGCTTTTCTAGTTTTCTCTATTTTCTGTTTTGATGATTCCTGTTCTTATTTTTATTATTTCTTCCCTCCTCCTTTCTTTGGGTGTACTTTGTTCTTTTTTATACTTTCTGAAGGTAAAAATTGAGGTCAATTTTAGGCCTTCCTTCTTTTATACAAGCACTTAAAAGCTGTGAATTTACTTTTAAGCACTACTTTAGCAGCATCCTATAAACTTTGTATCTTTTTTCACTCAGTTCAGAAACATATTCTACCTAATTTTGTGAGGTCTTCTTTGACCCACGAGTTATTTTAGGATTGTGTTTAATTTCTAAATATTTGCAGTTTCCTGAAATATTTTATTGAGTTCTAATTTAATTCCATTGTGGTAAGATAATTTTTTCTGTATGATTTCAATCCTTTTAATTGTAGTGAGACTTGTTTTTCACTTAGCATATGGTTTTCATAGTAAATATGCCACATACCTTTGAAAAAAATGTGAATTCTGCAGCTGCCTAGAGCATAGTACTCTTAAGAAGTATCAAGTAGGTTAGTGTTGTTGAGTTTTGTTCAAATCGCCTATGAATTTATTGTTGTCTAGTTTTAATAATAACTAAGAAAAGGGTGATACAATCTCCAACTATGTTAATGGAATTGCTTTTTTCAAAACTTTTGATTTTTTGCTTTTATTTTGAAGCTGTTATTAGATACATACACAGGTATTACTGCTCTGTCTTCTTGGTGAATTAACCCTTTAATTATGTGAAATGTTACTCTCCATCCCTGGTATCAACACAGCCAAGCCAGCCTTCTCACACTTGCTGTTCACATGGTGTCTTTTCCTGTCCATTTACTTCCACCCTTCCTGAGTCTTTATATTTAATGCATGTTTCTTGTTGGCAGCATTTACTTTTCTTGTTCTTCATCCATTGCGACAATCTCTACCTTGTAGTTATAGTTAGCTGCTTTGCTTCAGGAAATCAGCCAGAGATCTGCAGGGTTTCTGTACTGAATTTGGGGCTTCTGCGCTCCGTCTCTGTCTTTCGGAGTATTCCCCTCACTTTCCAGCGGCCATGCTTGCTTGAACTGAGTCTTCTGGTTATTCAAACTGATAAGACTGCAACTTTTCTGTCCAGGATTTAACTGTCCTGCACAGCACTCACTCTAGTCTGCCCTTAAACTAAAAGCCATGAAAACGGGAACTCATCTGCCATTTCTTTAAGTTTTGACTTTCCTTCAGAGATGGGCTCCTTTTTTTTTTTTAAAAAAAACTCTCTAACGCCTCCAGTGTGTGTGTGTGTGGTTCATTCAGTCTACCTACCTACCTACCTACCTACCTGTCTACCTACCTACCTACCTATCTACCTGTCTACCTACCTGTCTACCTACCTGTCTACGGACATCTGGAGTTTACAGTTTTATCTGTAGGAGAGTTGGGTCCAATGGGAGTTATTACATGGCCATGCTAACCTTAACATTTACTTAAATTATTACAAACATGTTTCAACACAAATACTTGAGAAGGGATTGACATACTTTTTCTATAAAGGGCCAGAGAGTAAATATTTTAGGTTCTGTGGGCCAGATTTGACTTGCAGGCCATAGCTAGCAACCTCTGATCGATCCCATCAGTAAGCCCCCACTGAATCAAGCAGGTATTTAGAGCACGGGCTGAGGGACAGTGGTTTGTACAGTGACAGGTATTTTTACACTTACATACAGGTTCTCATGTTTAGAAAAGTGCAGTTAAAAAACTGACCACCAGGAAATGTTGATTGGACCTGTAATTCTTATATGTTTCTCAGATTTTCTCCCTCATTTTCTTCCCTCCTTCCCTGAAGCCTCATGCTCAGAAGAGGTGGAGATAGACCCTGTCCCCAGGGTGCCTGTGGTCCTGGAAATTTGTTCCTCTATACCTGTGAGAAGTTCAGGAGAAACTTGTCTGTTATGGTGAGCTAAAGTGATCGGAGGCAGCACAATGCACAGGATATAGTAGTAAGTGCTTGATAAATGCTCATTGATGCTTGGAAGATGCTTATTGATGACTGGGAAAAACCTTGTAAAATTAAAGTTCACTATTTCCAAAGTGCATGAGCACTGTAATTAGTTACTAGATTAAAAAATTCTATTGGATAATCTAAAAACATTAACAAACTTATATTAGTGGATAACATGTTTAGTAACCCAGAATTTACTGCATGAGAATTGTTACTTTCCACTTGTGGTGGTTACACAGCTGTGCATCAGGATGACTTAGGAGTGGGGAGGAATTACTGCTGTGGTGTACTGAAGAGCAGGGTGAAGGCACGTCCTGCTACCACGAGGACTGTCATGCAGGGCCACACCTCCACTTTCTTCAGTGGCCTTCAATACCAACCTAAGAGAAACAAATATTCTACATGCCTAGTGATGAGATGTGGCTAACACCTTTCAAAGATCTGTGACTCAAAGTTAAATTTAATATCTATAAAATGTTTTTATGATGTGATTAAGACCTGTAATGGGCTACCAAGGGGCAGTGGAGACTGTGGTACTTAATCCTCAGAAAACACACTTGTGATTGATGCTGTTCCAGCCTAGAGGTAGCACTGCCTATCTGCAGGACATTTTGTAACCTCCTGCGGGATTGTAGCTGGCTATTTCTACCCTATTTTGTGTTCACTGCGGCGAATTTGAAAACATCAGAGGTGGTCTGTCTTCCTATAGGTGGCACGAAACAATGAGACGCATTCAGGGCTCCTCAGGACCGCAGGGAAAAGCTGTCCTCGGGGCCAGAGGAAATAAGCACCCCCTTTCCTTCCCACCAGACTGCATCGTGCACATTAACACGCCTTCACACGGTTTTGATCTCTTCACTCTTGTTCATGTTGATTCTTCACTGCAGTTTGGAAAAGCCAACTCCTGTCTTTATAGGACAGCTGTGAGGGCTGAAAGCGTCCAGCTCTCCAGGGTCAGGAGAGGAGGAGTAGGGTTACCTTTGCTGAACAGAAATGGACTGAGGCACGTCTCCTTTTCCTGCCAACTCCCAATCCCCGACATGCACGTATGATGTATGTCATGGTAAGGCAGACGCCACTTACTGGCTATTTCTGGGAAAGTTACTTAACCTCTGCACCTCGGTTTCCGCATTCAACACCTCAGCTGTGTGAAGAGATGACACTGAACCGAGAGAACCAAGTTAAGCCACCCCAGATTGATGACACACAGGAACGGTGAGGTGAGAAATGTCTGTGGTTTTAAGTCATTAAGTTTTGGGGTAATCTGATACCTAATTTAAATAACAGATAACTCCCCCTGCTGTTTTCGAGGTTTTCTCAGCTACTCCTCAATTGTGAGGGTTCCACTGGCTTGAGTAGAAACTGTCCCACGTCAGCCTCTTCACCAGGCCGGTGTCACAGTTGGGGGTTGAGGTTCCAGTGGCAGCCACTCGTCAGCGGTGTGCTCACCTGCTCATGGGCGGCTGCCGCCACTTTTGGGTCCTCTACTTACCCACCGGGCTTGGGGTCCAGATACCGAACAGCAGGTTCAACACGCTCTCTCCTGGTACTTGGCAGGCCCAGCTCTACGCTTCTTCTCTGCTCTAAAGCATCATCCTCGTCTCTTCCTGCCTCTGGCTTCTGCCACTACGGGGCTGGTGACAACCTGAGTAAAACCTCCACAAACAATTTCTGCCGTACTCCCTGCCTGTTGGCGCCCACTGGCTCACTTGTACTCACACACCCCTCTGGCATCAGCGCCTTGGGGTCTCCGAGCAAGCCCTTTAAGTCTGACTTTGACAAATCCCTAGTCATTCCCAGACATAGCACTGCTAGGACATTTAAATAAAATAACGATTTTGGTTTCTTTTTTTTTTTTACACAGTTTTTGCATTTTTCAAGATGTTTTTAAAATTTAACTTGGTTGGTCCTCTCAAAAGTTTTATTAGCAAGTATGCCTACGTGTGATGCATATTTACGATTCTCCTCCTAAAAACAAAACTAGATTTTCATAGCCATGGCACATCAGTCTTTCATAACATTGCTCCCATCTCATGGTTGTAGGTGCCTAGAGTTTATTCTGTAACACAGCCTAGGCCCCTTGACTGGAACAACCCATACGTTGGACAACGGCAACCTGCTTATTAAGCATTCCTGTGCCCAGGTTTGGCAAAGGGAGATGGAAAAAAATGAAGTTTTTTTCCCCCCTCTCTAACAGACAATTCATCTCCACTGATATGATCATTCCAAAAGATTTGATAATCAACTCTCCGTAAACCTGAGCAATTAGTTCTCTAGTGTTCTGTATCGCTTTTGGGTTTCCCAATCCCTTCCTGATGCTCAGCTGTTAGCTGAGCTGGAGAGCTGACTTCTCACTGCATCTTAATCAGTTTAAGAAGACCACACTCACGGCAGGCTGGGCCAGGCCAGCTACAGCCCACCAGCTCTGACTGATCCTCACCCCGCACCCACACTGCGCCCACACTGTCGTCACTTAGCACGTGCAAAGTGGGCGTGTGCTACAGCTCATGTTAGCGTAGGTCAGACGCAACTGGTTGATAATTGGTTTTAAAAACAATTCAGAGGCTGCGTTATTTCAAATGTGAAATACGCATTACATGTAGGCATACCGCCTAATAAAACTTTTGAGAGGACCAAGTTAACCTTTAAGTTTTAAAAACATCTTGAAAAATGCAAAATAATGTAACCCTTTGAGAGAGGTGACCTTTCTCTAAAACTTCCACCCACTAGGGGGTGTGTGGGGGATCTCAGCATAACGTTTGGTTTGCTGCAGAGACTCTGGAGGATTCTTGGGAAAGGCAGCAGCAACTTGTGGAGCCAGAGCCACGTGCTCAGGACCTCCTGGGGAGGTTAAGGCTGGTGCTATCAAGTGCATCAGTGTTTTTCATGCAGACAGAGCTTAGATAAAGCACGTTTCATACAATTTAGGGAAAAAGATATCCATTTTTTTTGTAAGCAGTGCTGCGTTATATGATTTAATGCACATATCAAACTAAAATTTGTTGTGTTTCCTGTTTATGCTGTTGTGTATATTTTCATATTTTTTCACATACTAAGTCATTGTACAGATTGCAAGTGCAACAGAGCATGGCTACTTCTAAAAAAGTAAGTTTTTATTAACAAAATGGGCTCACATTGTATAAGATAGACGTTGGGTTCATTTTACTAATTTTGGGGGATAGTCTTATTAAGCGCAGCACCATAGGCAAGTAAATAAATAAAATCAAGGAGGAGTTCCCCTGCCTGAAAGAAACACAGGCCACACAGGACAGTGCCAGTCATCTTTGTACTTCCCTATCCATCATCAGCCTCTAGGAAAGCTGCTCTTTCATGCTGATGCTACTCAAGAGAGCTGGTGTTGAGAAGAGCATGAGTTGAAAGCTTAAAGGGAAAGTTCTTGCCTGAAACAGTGCTAAGAAACCAGGCCCGGAGATCCTGGCCTCAACTCCAGAGTGTTTGCCTCCAGGGCCACCTCTTGAGCAGAGACCACACAGAGACTGGCCATCAGCCTTTCGTGCCCTTCCTCATGTGGCTTGTGCTGGGTGCCCTGATAAGTGGAAACGGCTCAGGTGTCCTGTTCAGAACTTCTGTAAGAATTTGAGGACAAGGTCCCGCAGCCGTACCCTGAGCGTCTCGTCATTGTCACAAATGATGTGGGTTGAGTCTTCTTCAATCTGTATGAGCGTCTCAGCTTCCTGGAGTAGGACGATATGGCCCTTGGCTGTGTCTTCCACCTTAACATCACTGAAGCCGTGCTGCCCCAAAAGAAAAGGAGGAGGAGGACAATGGGAATTCTGAAAAGCAAGGCTGACTGAAAAGGCGGGGTGATGTTCCACAACTGTGAGATCTAAAAATGATATTTCTTGGGCCGGCCCGGTGGCGCACTGGAGAGTGCGCCGCTTGGGAGCGTGGTGGCGCTCCCGCGGAGGGTTCGTATCCCATGTGGAGACCGGTTCCCGCTCACTGGCTGAGCACGGTGCGGGCGCAACACCAAGGGTTGCGATCCCGTTGCCGGTCCCCGGTGCAGGCGCGACACCGAGGGTTGTGATCCCGTTACCGGTCAGTAAAAAAGACAAAAAGGAAAAAAAAAATAAAAATGATATTTCCCAGACTCAATTGAGCATTCTAGAAACTGGTGTTTTTGACACTCAGTACAATTCTTCAGAGTAGTAATGGGGCCTACTACAGCAACAGAATCCAACCACAGTGTCTTATACTTTCAGAGAGGCCCCCAAACGTGCAAAACAACAGGGTCTCCCCAGCCCGAGGATCTGGGGGTCGATTCCTGGAGAAGCCAGGCATGAGGTCTTTCTGGGACAGTCAATCAAGCTTGAGGCCCACTGCTAGGGACCAGGGCCCCTGCAGGGTCCTGAGGAAGGTGGGGGTAATATGATTGTGGACACTGCATGTTGCAGGGTCGAGGAGAGGAGCTGCACAACTTGGCTAAAGCCTTAACTGTATGATCTGAAAAATCAGCAATTGAGATATTTTGTTTGGACAAAAAGTGGTTATTAATAGTTTAGCAGAAGAAAATCTCCTTTCTTGTAATTACTCAGAGTTAGCTGCAGCTCTTGCAAAAAGAAGCATGAATAGTATCATCTCTCGCCAACACCTTCCCCTTCCTATCGAGAACTCTATAATCCTACTGCTAAAAACAGGGACCTCTGAAGTCCTGTGACCAAAGCCCAAGTCATGAAAACCTTTAACTAAGGTTAGAGCTTTTTTTTTTTTTTTTTTTTAAGTGTAGTCAAGAAATCTCCTTGGAAGAAGCAGCCATAGAGCCCCAGGAGGTGGGATGGCCGCTGAGATAGAAGGGAAGGGCCAGTGTCCTTGCAGGTGGTTGCCCCTTCTTCTGTCTCCCCTGACCCTATCTGGGAACTGCTAGGGCCCGTTTCCTGAATTCCCGGGGATCTGGAGCACTGACACCTTCCACTGCCAACAAGGGGTCTTTCTGCAGAAAAACAAACCTCTCCCATCCTGCCCCACTCATCATGTCTGTGTTTTGAAGGTGGCCTTCTCTGTGGTCTGGTTCCCACAGGAAACAGGGTTGGGAGAGGCGTTCTTCTGCCACCTGGCCCTGGAGGGGAAG